CTAACCGGTGCTCATGTATCATTCTTTTCAACTACCTTTATTTCTTCATCCATTGCTATTCTCCTTTTCTCTTCTTGAACCACTTCTTCAAAACATAAAGGATCACAATCCATGAACAAACAAACAAATTCAAGTTACCTTCAAAATTTTTTGTAGATTCATAAATCTCTTGCAAACTTCTCATTTTTCTTGATCTTTCACTTGAACTTGAATCCGATGATAAAGATGATGATGGTGATGATGATGATTCTCCTGTAGAAGATGAGGGGGATCCATGTGGAGGTGTCTGTGGCTCTCTTTGGACTTCCCTTGGTTCTTCAGACTCTTCTTCTTCAAGCATAAGTTCCACTTCGGTGGCTGAAACTTTTTCTTTCCAATCCCACATGTCTTCCTCTTCAAAGATTACATCTCTAGTCATAATCACTTTCTTGGTAATGGGGTTGTATAACTGGTATCCCATTGTTCTATCACCATACCCAAGAAAAATGCATTTTTCACCTTTATCATCAAGCTTTGTCCTCCTTGCTTCGGGAATCTTCGCATAAGCATTGCATCCAAAAACTTTGAGATGAGCTACACTTGGCTTGAATGAACACTAAGCTTCCTCCGGGGTCTTGACACGAACACTTTTGGTTGGACATCGATTCAACAAGTACACTGCACATGCTACAACTTCAACCCAATATTCTCTAGGCAATCTCTTTCCTTTCAACATGCTTCTAGCCATATCAAGAATAGTCCTTTTTTTTCTTTCCGCAACCCCATTCAATTGAGGCTTGTAGCTTGGCGTGAATTGATGCACAATTCCATGCTCCTTGCAATAGTCTTCAAATAAATCGGAACTATACTCACCACCTTGATCGGATCTCAACCTCTTGATAAAATAGCCACTTTGCTTCTCAATAAGATTCTTGAATTCCTTAAAAATTTCAAACACTTCAGACTTCCTTATTAAAAAATACACCCAAATCTTTAGACTATAGTCATCAATAAAAGTAAGAAAGTAGCGATTCTTACCATTTGACAAAGGCGTCAAAGGACCACAAACATCGGTGTGCACAAGCTCCAAAGGTCGTGAAGCTCTCCACTTGACTTCTCTTGAGAAGCTTAATCTGTGATACTTGCCAAGTATACACCCTTCACATAACTCATCCGGATTTTCAATGTAGGGTAGACCCTTCACCCTTTTCTTGCTAGACAAAAGCTTCAAGCCACCAAAATTAAGATGTCCAAGTCTCAAGTGCCACAACCAAGAATCATCTTTAATAATAGCATTCAAACATCTCGTAGCATCATGTTGAATATTCAAAGGAAACATTTTACTCTTGGACATTTCCACATTAGCAATCAAATTACCACGGGCATCTTTAATTGTAAGGTGAAGATTCTTCATGCTAATATCATAACCCTTTTCTAAAAGTTGCCCCAAATTCAAAATATTGTTCTTCATATCCGGCACATAATAGACATCGGATATAAAATCATGATTGCCATTCTTGAGCTTAATAAGAATTTTACCTTTGTCTTTCACCAGAATGTTGGAGGAGTTGCCAAAAGTAACTTTGCATTGCGCCACTTCATCAAGTTCTAGAAACATATGCTTCTTGCCACACATATGGTTGCTTGCCCTGGAATTAAGAAACCACACATTGTCATTATCTTCCTCGAATCCATCATAGGCCAACAACAAAGTAAATGCTGCTTCATTGCTTGCTTTCTCAACATAATTCACATGTTCTTCAACGCCTTTATTTGCACTTGCCCAAAACTCATTGCTATAATGCCCAAACTTGTGACAATTGAAGCATTCAACATTTCGCTTGTCAAAGCCTTGATTGTTGCAATTGTCTCTTGCTCTTCCTCGTCCTCTTCCTCTTGAACCATAAGGATTTTGATTTCTTGCATCATTGGTGAATTGACCTCTTCCTCCTCTTCCTCTATTAGCATAGCCTCTTCCACGACCTTCGTAGCCTCTTCCTTGATTGCCATAACTTCTACCTCGTTTTCCATTACCTCTTCCTTCTTGCGATGTACTTCCATGAAATTCTTTTTTTTCATCTTTCAAAGCTTGGATTGGAGAGCTTGTTCAAGAGAACTTGAAGTCTTTTTATTAATACATTGCTCATGTATTTCCAATGTTGCCATCAATTCATCAACACTCGTAGTCTTGAAATCCTTGGATTGCTCAACGGCTACAACAACATACTCAAATTTTGGGGTTAAGGTTCGTAGTATTTTTTCATAACACGAACATTATCAATATCTTCTCCATACCTTTGCATTTGATTCACAATCACCAAAGTTCTTGAAAAATACTCTAAAATTGACTCGGCTCCATTCATATTCAATCCTTCAAATTCACCTCACAATATTTGAAGATGAACCCAAATAGTTTTATCAATTCCTCTATGCATACTCTTCAAAATTTCTCAAGCTTGCTTTGAGGTGGTGGCGGGAGAAATCTTCTCAAAAGTGTTATCGTCAATACATTGGTAAAGTAGAAATAAAGCCTTCTTATCCATCTTCCTTGATTGCTTAAGCACCATCTTTTGAGCATCATTAAGCGTTTGCTCTTCCTCTGTAGTCAGCTCGATATAACCTTTTTCAACAATTTTCCAAAGATCTTATGATTGTAACAACACCTTGATTTGAATACTCCAATTCCCATAATTATCTTTCCCCAATTTGGGAAATTGGGGTTGAAGCACATTACTCATAGTAGCCATAACAACCAGCTCTGATACCACTTTTGTTGGGAGTTGGAAGCAAAATAGCTCACCAAAAGAACACAAAAACAGAGGATAAAAATCTGCTATACATCCACACCAATTTTACTCAAGAAACACCTCTATATTTCATCAAGAATGATCACAATATCAAGGAATACAAGGAGAAAGCTAATCTGAAATTTTCAGCAGTAAACATTCAAGAAATACAAAGAAATAGAGCTTCTGCTCTTGAACAGGCTGCTGTTTTTTTCTGACAGCAACACAGTTTTCTTCACCGTCTTTCTCTCTGTTTTTCCTGCAGATACACTCCCTGTTTTGGGCAGTAACTCCAGCCCCTTTTATACTAATTTTTCCTAGCCAAAACACCTTGAACCTGGCCACTTAATGGCCTGCTGCCTCCAAGAAAAAATTATTCGAATTCCCATGTAGCCATGCATGAACAAGCCTCCCAAAATATTCTGGACACTTTCTAGTACCTATCTCTTCAAATACCATGACTTTTCAATACCCAAAAATACAAAAACTACCCTTTAAGAATTGAGTTTATGAAAACATATGATTAAATATGATTCGGTTTGTGATCCGATATGATTACATACACACATAAATACATATATATTAATTAAAATTGAGTTATTATTTAATGATACTGTGTTGAAATTGAATGTAATGCATTAAAATTCACCTCTAATTTAATTATTTGGATGAAAATAAATTTTTTTAAAGGATTTGACATGAACTGTAAAACTTAGGTTCTTTGAATAATCACAACGAATATGAATTAAGTTTTTAAATCGGATTCAGATCAATTGATATTTTATTCAAATCTTATTGTTAACAAGCATACTAATGAAACTTAAAATTTTATCTATGAAGAATTCCTAGTTGCCCCCATTATGAAGAATTCCTAGCTCTGCCATGAGAGTCAAGACTACAGATGTCTTAACAATAATGAAACTTAAAATTTTATCTTATGTTTGGGGAAGAGATTTAATTCAATATAGTCATTAAATTAATTGTGAATTTTAATATCATATGAAGTTAATTCTTAATCGCACAATTATAATTGATTAAGTTCTTAAATTAAAAATGAATAACATTTTTCTATGTAATATGATTCAATCTTCATCTGAGTACATAATAAAATTCAAACTTAATTGAGTAGTCAAAATAGAAAGCTTATTTAATTGGTTTGAAGCAATTTAAGAGCAACTTCATTAGTCAATAGGGAATATGTTATTGTGAAGATCTAATCAATTATAATTTTTGAGATAAAAATAAATCAATAGAATTTTTGAATTAAAAAATGAGTTTCTTTGAGCTCACAACAAACTCAATTGTTATTTGAGCAAAATTTTATTATGACATAATTTAGGAAATTAAGGATTGTGGACACTGAATTGTTAATGAGTACCAATATTAAATAGACCCCACTATCAATCTTAGATTTTTTTTAGCATTATTCTAATAAATTACGTCAACAAATAATATAAATGAGTTAGATCCTGATTAGGTTCTACAGAATTGCTCTCACTGAAAAATAAGGTAAATTGATTGATAATTGAATGGTGAGTATTACCATTTACCACGGGAGAAATCTGCGTCTCTTTCACTTTGTATGTGGTGCAATGCTAACCACCACTTAGACTAAAGTACATTTGTCTCCTGCACTTTGTATGTGGTGCAAGGCGAGCCACCACTTAGACTAAAGTACAAAATGCTTAACGCTTAATACTGACGGATTGAGATGGTGGTAAGTCCGCATTTAAGAGAATATTTAAGTGAATCGATGATAAGAGATAATCAAAAGAACTTTGATATTTAAATCAGATCACGAGTATAGAGTGAATAAACCAATATTAAATTGAATTACATAATACTCATGGTATTTATTTATAGAATTTGATTAGGATTCGGAATCCTTGATCCTAATCACCAACCTCTGGTTGCTTGGAGTACTCCTTTATTTTAACTCTAACTCCTTAATATCTCGTCGTCAATTCCAAGATATATATATTTCCACCGACTGGCGAGGGCCAGCTTCTGCACTTGCCGAGTGGCTTGAGCCAGCTTCTGCACTTGCCGAGTGGCATGGCCTTCTTGGTGACTGACATTGGCCTTGGTTAGCACCAGCCTCACAAACCAGATACACACCTACGGAGAGAGAGAGAGAGAGAGAGAGAGAGAGAGAGAGAGAGAGAGAGAGAGAGAGAGAGAGAATGGACGTGAAGGAAGCACTTTTCATGAACGGAGGATAAGTAGAATCAAGCTATGCTCAACACTCAGGCTTTACGGTATGCTCTATTTTCCATAAATCAACTTATTTTTGTTAGAAAGTTCTTCCATATCCTCATAAATCAATCTATAATTGAATCAAAATCATTTTGCACAAGAATTTTCTCTTCAAATTTCTCCCTAATCAAACTCGTTTACGGGCGTGTTCTACTTTCCAAACATCAAGTTATTTTCTTCTGCTCAAAAAGAAAATTATTCACAAACAGAACTTAGTTTGTCAGAAACTTCATCCAAATCATCATATCAATCAATAGTTATCGTAAGATCATTTTGCACATCAAATTTCGCTTCAAATTTCTGTTTAATCAACATTATTTACAGATCGATTCAATCTTCTGATCATGTGCAGCAAAAAGTTATTTCCATAACCAAACCTGTACTGGTAAATGCAGTTCATTCTCTGTTCTCAGAAGATTTCCACCGGAAAAAAGTTCTCAACGTGGCCGATCTCGGTTGCGCGGCCGGTCCGAACACGTTCTCCGTCATTTTAACCGTCAAAGAAAGCTTGGAGGCGAAATGCAAGGATTTAAATTGCCAACCACCGGAGCTTGAGGTTTACTTGAACGATCTTCCCAATAATGATTTCAATTTGCTCTTCAAAGACTTGTCTAGACTCGGTGAAGATCAAAAGAGTGATGTTCTTCTTCCATGTTTTGTGATGGGAGCTCCTGGTTCTTTCTATGGCCGTCTCATTCCTCGTAGCTGGTTGCATCTTGTTCATTCCTCCTCCAGTGTCCACTGGCTCTCTCAGTTTTGCATGAATCTTCGTACTCTTTTTAAAACAAGAAATCCGAAGTAGACATCTCAATACTTCATGTGGTGTCATATTTTTAAATCATATAAAATTATTAGTTATTGTCTGTGCCTGAAGGCAGAGAGTAATAAAAAATTGGCCAACAATAAATATATTTGTATTCATATCTAAAGTCAAATCACAAACATAGAGAAGAGATAAATGAATTTAAGTATCGATTGTAGTGGAGGTGAGAGATGGTGGGTGATAGTGATAGTGATAGGAGACGGTAATGATTGTGGTGGGCGGCAATAACCGTGGTGGTAGTGGTAGCCGTGGATAACAATGGTGATGGTAGTAATGACAGTCATGGATGACGGCGGTAGTAGTGGGTGAGAGTGGGCGACGGTGATGGTTGTTGCCGATCATCGTAGGGGGGCGATGACGGTGGTGTAAGGGTAGCGATGACGGTGGTAGTGATGATGGTCGTGGGGCGGTGGGGGTGGTGATGGTAAGGGTGATGGTGGAACGACAACAGTGGTGGTGAGGGGTGGTGATAGTAGGGGTGATGGTAAGGTGACAGTAGTAGGGGATGGTGGTGGTGAGACAATGACGGTAGTGGTGGTGGTGGTAGTAGTAGAGTGGTGATGGTGGTGGTGGTGGTGGTGGTTGTGGTGGGGCAGTGGGGGTGAGATTGTTCTAAACACTATTTTTTTTTGTTTAAAATAGTTATAAAAAAATTATGAGTTTTTGAAGCATTTTTAAAAAGTTGTTTCAAACACACCTTTAGGAACTTATTTTTTCTATTAAATTTAATGTGTTAATGTTAGCCGTTGAATTAATTTTAAAGTAAAATTTTAAGAGATCTTAACCGCGAAAAGCAAATGTCATTTTTGTTTTTCTTTTGAAATTTGAATTGTTTTGTACTTTATTATATAGATATTTTGTCAAAATTTATTCAACTCAAATTTAATCTATTTTAGATTTGTGAAATGCTGTGTTTGTATTTAGTTAAATGTGTATTATATTTATCGTGATTCATATCAACTTATTTACTTTATATGTTCTATATAAATCATTCAAATGATCCAAAAATAAATTCAAACCCATTTACTTCGTTTGGCTCTAGATCCTGTGTCGAATGTACAAGTTGGATTCGTTTGGTTGTCGTATTAGGAATAAATGGATTAAATAAAATAAGTACAAAATGACAAAAGACAAGATTAAATAGGATATTAGAATCATACATAATTTTATTTAATGTTTGACAATACACAATATAAACATTGGATAACAGTTATTTAATTCAATCGATTATTTGGTTATAGAATTATTTCATCGTATTAATGTTAAATTAACAAAAATACCCTCAATCAGTGTTTGTTACATTGATGACAATTTGATTCTAACAATTAAAGGGTTATAACAGTAAATTTTGCCCAAAATTATTAGGAATTGTTGTAAGATTTGTTGATGAGGTGAAGATGGACAATCTGATCAAACTGTTGTAGAACTGTTGACGTTCAGGATATTAATGGTTACAGTTGTTTTTGATAACAAAAAGTTCTCGTTGCTGGACTGCTATCCATTCCACTCAAGTTACAGCTTAACGAGATCGATAGAAAAACTAGGGATTGACCCCAAAGTTTTGAACCTCGATGATTAGTAACTGTGTCCTTATTGACTTTTAACTTGATTGGATCGTAGAATTTTTTGATATAGCAGTGTAAATTTTTTCTTATATTACAGTTGTTTATAACTTGATCTCATAGACGTTACTTGGAAATCCGATTCATGTTTTATACTTGTCAAGAACCATGTATTTACTCTCATAAACTTGTCAAGAACCATGTCTTTACAAGAATCATATCTGATATAAAGGTGTCAATTTGACCGGTTAACACCAACACAACAACCTTAAATAGATTTTTTTTTTTTTGTTTTGTATCGGCACAAACATCATACGAATTACTAATAATAACATCTACATGACACAAGCGACTCATATAACTTGAGGTGCCAACAGTCCCGGCAGTAGTAAAGTGAATGTGTGCCAAGACAATTCTCTTACCAAAGTAACTTACAAAAGTCTATAACTCAACCATAAAAATGTTTTCAAGCCCATGAAAAAGAGCAAAATAATCTTTCTTTTATAAAAATCTACAATTTTTCTTGGCAAAAATATTTTCTTATAAAGGCAAATACATCTCGACAATCCCACCGTCTCATAAAATTTATCGTATGCTATTAGATATAGCACTCTGAAGGGAAGCTTGTCTATGGGCACTTTCCATAGGAGCAGCTGAAGTTTGCATCGAAGCAATAGTAAGGAGATTATTGCATTGAGCTCAAAGGAGGGAGTCCGTCCTTGGGAAATTGAAACCTTGGTGGATGACATAAGAAATGATGCAGATATTTTGAAATTGAAGTTCAATGACGGTGGCAGCGATGTCGGTGGTGGCGGTGGGGGTAATGGTGGTGGCGACGGCAACGGCGGAGGCAGTGGTGGTGGTGGTGGCGACGGTGACGGCGACGGCAACGGTAGTGGTGGTGGTGGTTGTGGCGATGGCGATGATAGCGTGGGTGGTGGCAGCAATAGTGGTGGCAACGGTGGTGCTGGTGGCGATGGCAGTGGTGCTGGTGCTGGTGGTAGAGGCAATGGTGGGACGGTTTCAAACACTATTTTTTTTAAAGTACTTATGAGAAATAATTCATAGAAGTACTTTTAAAAAGTCACTTCAAATACACTCTTAAGTGTCTATTTTTCCTATTAAATTTAGGGTGTTAATATTAGCCATCAAATTAATTTTAAAGTAAAATTTAAAGTGATCTGAACCGTGAAAAACAAAAGTCATTGTTTATCTTTTGAAATTTAAATTATAAGTTACTTTATTATATACTAGTTATTGTTTGTGTCTGAAGGCACAGAATAATAAAAAATAGTAAATAATAAATATATTTGTATTTATATTCAAAATCAAATCACAAACATAGATAAGAGATAAATAAATTTAAGCATCGGTTTCTAATGGGGGTGAGAAGTGGTAGGCGGCAATGGTGGTGGTAGGAGATGGTTGAGGTAGGTGGCAATGACCATGGTGGCGAAGATGATGGTGGCGAGGGAGGTGGCGACGATGGGGGCGGCGGCGATGACGATGGCGATGGTGGTGATGGCGGCAATTGTGGTGGTGGTAACGGCAGTGGCAGTGGCGGTGCCAGTAGTGGGGGTGGTGGTAGTGGAGGTGGTGGGGCGATTTCAAATATTATTTTTTAAAAAAATATTTATGAGAAATAATTTTTAAAAAGTCACTCCAAACACACCCCTTAGGGGCCTATTTTTCTTATTAAATTTAGGGTGTTAATATTAGTCGTTAGATTAATTTTAAAGTAAAATTTAAAACAATCTCAACAACGAATAGCAAAAGTCATTTTATTTATCTTTTAATATTTGAATTATAAACTACTTTGTTATATATATTCATATATGTTGGTGTGTGTTTTCATCTGTTTTATGGAGTTACCGCAAGGGTGTAGCTCGCTCTCTGTCTCTCTCTCTCCCCATATATATGCACATATATACACACAAGTATAGTTTCATGCAGTATGTACATTATCCGGTGACTTTCTTCTTATTCTTCCGTTGGCGATCTCCATAACTATAATTTTGATTTGTCAATTCCCAAACATAAGCTTTGGGTGTTCTGTTTGCTCTCTCTGTCTCTCTCTCTCTTTGTGTTGTACACTGTATATGGCTCTTATTTGTGATATTGACCATCTACTCTATTTGTCTTTCTTTAGTCTCCTTGTCTGATTCATTTATTCTTGTTCTCTGCATAGCAGCTTCCTGGTAGAACAGATAATGAGATAAAAAATTACTGGAACGCAAGGGTGAAGAGACGTCAGCAAGCTGGTTTACCCATATCCCCAGCTGAAGATTCTGGCTTGTGCAATACTTGCTTTATCGGTTGCTCTGTTGGTACCTCAATAGTATGGGCCTGGAAGTATGGCCTGAGTCTTCTAGCAATTGTAACCAAGGCTAAGACGAGCTTCTCCATTTCTTGATATCTTTCCTCCGCTCTCCTCAGAGCTCTGCCGCAGTAGTAGACTAGCTGCTAAACTCTGTCTCGCTCCCTTACCAGTGTTGTGCTGGTTAAAAAATCCGAGATTGCGAGGCATAGAGTGAGTACCTCTCCTTCTAATGGACTTACTAGGACAAGGGGTGAGCTCAGATAGTTCTTCAAAGGTTTAAATGCTTCTTCACTTCAGGTATCTCGTTGGAAGGCCTTCTTTAAGACTTGAAAGATTTGTTGACATTTGTCACTTGATATAGACACAAAACGACTCAGCACAACTATTCTCCCTATTAGTTGTTGTACTTCCCTTGTGTTGGTAGGTGGTTGCATATCCGTTACTGCTTTAACCTTTTCTGGATTAGCTTCAATCCCCCTACTGTTGACTATGAAGCCCAGAAATTTACCAACAGACACTCCAAAAGCACATTTGGCAGGGTTGAGCTTCATTATGTATTCTTTAAGGACCTATAATGACTTTATTAGATACTCGATGTGGAGCCTTGCCTTCAGTGATTTTACCAACATATCATCAATGTAGACCTCCATGGTTGTCCCAATCTGCTTTTGAAATATTTGATTCACCAGCTCTGGTAAGTGGCTCCAGCATTCTTTAGTCCAAAAGGCATAACCTGGTAATAGTACGTCCCTTGCTCCATCACAAAGAAGGTCTTCTCTTTGTCATTGGGATTCATTCTAATATGATTGTATCCAAATAAGATGTCCATAAAACTGAGGAGCTCTTGTCCAGCGGTGGTATCCACAACCAAATCTATCTAAGGTAATGGAAAGCTGTCTTTAGGGCAGACACGTTTGAGGTCTGTAAAATCGATGCAGAGGCGCCATTTGCCATTAGTCTTCTTAACGAGGACCACATTGGCTAACCAGACTGGGTAGTCTACTTCTCTGATGGCTTTGGCATGAAGAAGTTTGCTGACCTTCTCATTAATGGTTTTTTGGCTTTTTGGGGCAAAACTTATCCTCTTCTGTTTAATG